GTATGTGAGCAAATAATTTTAGGAAGCTCCAAGAAAACAGTTAAAGAGTTGTTAAAAACCAACATTCATCCAAATAAACTGAGAGAATTAGTTTTATTAAAAGATTGATGAATTGGACAGCATCCCCTCTAACAAATAGAGAGGCTCTACAAAATGGAAGGTTTCAATAGTCAGAAAGAGGGCGGGACAAGGTTATTAGCAAAAGAAAAGAGATTATTTCAGGCAAAGCCACCTTCCCCCTAAGGGAAGTCTGGGATCTTACCTTGCAGATGACCTCATTCCATTCCAGATGGTTGGCTTAGAATTCCACTTTTTAGGAGAGGCTAGAATTGCAATCAGGTTAGGTAGTAAGTTTTGGTGGGACCCCGGCATGAACACCACCATCTTGAGCCCCCTCCCTGCATTGCTGCCCCCCCCTCCCACTTTAAACAGAGAATACAGTGAAAGTACAATCCCCAGGCACTGGTTCTGTCTCCCCTCTCCTGCCCCACACTGGGCCACAGGGAGGTTTCTTTCCCAGCACCGTGGGGACTCAGGGCCAGGCCATGAGTGGCTGAGCCTAAAGAAAATGCAGGAGTGCCGGCCTCTCCTCCCCCACTTCTCAAACCACTATTCAAGAGGAAATTGTGATCCAGTCGGGACTGCTGTTCGACACAGACCTCCCTGGTTTTTGAGCAGCTTGGAAGTGGCCCTGCAGCAGGGTGTTATCAACTGTACAGTAGTAAGATCCTTCATCTCCCTCCGATGCCTTGAGGACCTGAAGTGCAGCCTGGTTGTTTGAACTATCAATTTCACCTTTGAACCTGCCCTGGAAACCAGGGCCGTAGTGATCCCCTTCTCGGTATATAAAAGTCATTGTGTGACCCTGGGTCCTCCTGTACCAGCTGACGTAGTAGTCAGACATTCTTCCTCCTTGCATGGAGCACTTGAGGGTGGTAGACGCTCCCACAGACACAGTCACCATTTGGTCTTGAGGCACCAACACGACAGCTGACATGACGCCTGAGAGGAGAGACATGAGAGCGCTCTGTGAGGGCCAGGCCTGAGATCACTGAGGAAAGGTGCTGTCTCCCAGCGCTGGGGTCTGGTACCTTGCTGCTGTGTCTCACTTCAAGTTCTGGGGTCCACCTTACCTGCCCAGAAGAGGGTGAGATGGACTAGGAAGCACAGCTCCTGCATGGCTCCACTCAGGGACAGCCCGACTCTCAGCTCTCCCTCTCCCTGGTCCCGCCTCTGAGTTAATATGTTCTCTGTGATGCACTCATGCCTGAGGAAACCAGCCCCTGGGCAGACAGCTGTCTTCTTTCCTAGAGGGCGTTTTGTCAGTCACCAGAGGGAGGTGCTTAGAGCCTGTGGCCTATTAATGGGGTGACTCTACCACCCTGAGATCGACATCGTGGTTCAGATAAGGAAGGAGGCCCACTGAGAGGAGATTAAAGCGGCTTATTTGATTACTAATATGATTTGTGCTTCCTGACCTACAAGTTAAGTTTGATATTATTGCTCCCTTATCACATTAGATGTATATGCTGCATGTTCTGTGGTGATAGTTAACAGTTAATACCAAAAAGAATTATTGACATTTACAGTTATAATCAAAAGGATTGTCAAGCAGGGAGATCACACGTCTCTGCTGGTGTTGTAAAGACTGTTGTGTTTACTGTAAACTCCCTCCAAGCAAAGTTGGAAAAGGGTGATTCCCTCAGTATAAAAGAGCAACCCAGGGGCCACTGACTCCGTGAGTCTGAGCTTCCCAATCTTTATTGAACCCATCTATCTTCTCTTCTGAAGAGTTCTTAGGTCACCTATGTTGACTTACACACAGCAAAATATTGAAAAGAGACTTAGAAACTGAAAGTCTAGTTTCTATCTTTCACCATGCAATTGACTCTCTGTTTCTATCTTTAGGTGGTGATCAGGGTGTCATGTATGCAAATGTGAAAATATAATGCCGCACATCTGTAACTTAGGTCATGCTATAAACGAATACACCTCAATGTATTGGCACCTCAATACAAATTTATTTTTAAAAAGGGAAAAAAACCCTGAGATCACCACTACATCCCAGTTCATGACAGCCTTCAAAAGAGAGGGGTGTTTGAATTCTTGGGACCTATGCTTTTGAATTTTAAGACCAATAATAGATGAAATTTTGAAATCAAGCTGAGAAGTGAATAGTGGGACCTAGAGGGTGCAGCAGAGGCCGGAGAAGTTCATTAGGTAAGCAATGACACAAGCGCAAAGGCAGCCCCCGACATGTGAGGATGGTGACAGGATCTAAATTCTCTCCTCATCTCCCTGACCTACTATCCATTTCACCCACATCTCTAGAGGGCCATCTGCAAGCACTGGAGGTGGCCCAGTCTTTGCCATTACAAATTTGCACCACCAGTTCCCACATGACTACACAACGGTGCTGGTTCTCAATAGTTCTCTGGAACTTATGAACTTGGTCTTTTCCTATCAGGTGACCTACTTCATGGCACAGCCTATAAATATGATTTTTTTTAAAGATTTATTTATTTACGCATACAAGAGCTGGGGTACAGGCCAGAGATGTGGGGGTGGGGGGTGAGAGGATTTACCAGAGACAGAGTGGGGAACAAAACAGGTGAATTGACTGAAAGACACTGCTGAGGGAAGCATAGGGGAGATAGGAGAGGTCTGCTTCACCATGTGGGTTGCTCCCTGGCTGGCGGGGGATTGAACTCATGCTGCAGAGGCTTCGGATTGCTTCATAGTGTGGTGCTTAACCCCTTGCCCCACCAGGGAGGCCCCTGGTCATATTTCTTATGTACCATACCCCAAGGGTTCACTGACAATGCCAGATGCACTCTCCCCTCTCTGGAGCTTATGCTCCATCACCAGTGCCAGTCATCACATCATGCTCTGCGTAATGGACTCCTCCGCGGCAGCTGTGGTAAGTACTCTGCAGAAGCAGGGTTTTGAGAGCATGGTATAAAGGCCAGGAGGTCAGGAAGTTAGGGAAGGCTTCTCTGAAGAAGCGACTTTGTAGTTGAGATTTAAAAACAGAAGTTACCCAGGTATGCTAGGTAGTGTCTGTCCTTCCAGAACCTCTCTGCTGCTGACCCCTGGAGGCTACCCAGATGGACACATCTGCCTGGAGCACTTGCTCTCTGGCAAGGCAGAGGCACCATCGGGGGATGGGGAGACAGGAGGAGCCTGAGGTGGGGTGTTGCTGTTATAGGACAGGGAGAGGGGCAGCCCAAGCCCCGCAAACCTGCCTATTCCATGTAGGGTTCTGCCATCCGCCGCATCAACACAAAACATATGAGACTTTAATGGGAAGGAACTTTAATACAATTTGGAAACAATACAGGAAAGGCAAAGAAGCTAGTTTCTAAATCAAGCACCCAAAGTTACCCGTCCCCTTGTGGGTAAAACTCCATCCAAATGGGATTGGCCCAGAGCAAGGCCCCAAAGCCTGCCACAAGTCTAAAGTATCTTCCAGTGGGGACCCTCAGAAAAGGGTCAGAAACAACCAGACAAGCCCGGAAGGAAAAGAGCAAAATCAAAATCAAAATAAAAGCTGCCATTGTCACCTCCCCATGGGTCTCACCCACATCTGTGTCACCCAGTCCACGACCAAAAGACAAGCACAGTTTCTTCACGTGTCTCTAGGCTCCATGCGCCTCCTCCAGGGCTCCTTCTGGCTCCATCCTGCTCCTTCCTTCCTCAGTCTCTTCTGCTGCTTCTCTTCTTCCTGCTCAGCTCCACCCTCCCTTGGGTGGGGCAGGGAACCTCCCCCTTTCCTGGGGACCACCCTGTTACAATGCGACCCAAGGTGCTCCCTGCCAGGCTGCAGATTGGCAGTGCCCACCTCCTTTCCTGGAGCAGCAGTTCCTCTCCTGTAGCTGCAGTTCCTCTTCTGTAGCTGCAGTTCCTCTCCTGTAGCTACAGTTTCTGTAAAGGTGCCCCCACTCCAGGCTTCAGGTGAAACTTCTAGTGGTTTCTCAGGGTGTTTCATCATCTTTCTTGGGGTTTCTATAACCCAGCTGCATTATTTTCCTTCTGTTGTCTTAATAAAACCTTACAAACTAGGTGGTTTAAAACTGAGGGGATTTATTATCTCGCAGTTCTGGAAGCTTGAAGTCTGAAATCAGCAGAGCCAAGTTCCCTCTGACACCTGGAGGAGGATCCTTTCTTGTCTCTCCCATGGTGTCTGGTGGCTTGCAGCAACCTCGGGGTTCTTGAGTTTGACTTGCACTTGAATCACTGCCATCAGGCGTTCTCCTGTGTGTTTTCCCATGGCTGCCTCTTACAAATATGCCAGTAACAGGATCAGGGGCTCAGACCACTCCAGTAAGATATTGTTCAAAAGGAGTATATCCATTGCAATGACTACCTCCACGAGAAGTCACTTTCTGAGGTACTGGGGGTGAGGATTTCAACTTGTCTTTTTGGGGAGGATACAATTCTATCCATTGCAATTCCTACCTCTGTAAATTGTACCTTTCCATAGAGTCTCTCTAATCATGCCTTGGAGAGTACCCTGTCTCCTGTTGGGACTTCCTGATATGCTAGATGCAGGGCCATTCTATATAAGAAATAGATAGTTAGGGAGGAGAAAAGAATATTCTATGTAAGAAGCAAGGACATGTTTAAAGAAAAAAAAAAAAAACACCAAAAACAACAACAAACCCAAGGCAGGAAGAACTGTGGGTTTAAAGCTGCATTAATATCAGAAGAATAGTTAGCAGGACTCAAAGAAGCCTGTTTTCCCAGATAATTGCTGTTGAACTATCTCAAATTATTCCAGAAGTCATTCTGAAAAATTGCAAGAATGTGCTTATGTTTATGACTATGATTTATATCTCCCACAGGTTAGAGGTAATTCCAAGAGTTTATTGTTAATGGGCAAAATCAGCCTTTCCCTAGGCCCGAGGAAGAGAAAGTCGGTGCAGATAATAAGTGCCAATTGAAGTCATCCTGGCCTTCAAAAATGCTTATTGAAGTGAAATGATTTCTTCTGCTCACAGGATATCTGACTAGAAAGTGTGTTGCCATCTACCATGTACAAGGAGACCAAAGACGGCCAGAGAGGAGTGGATTCCCAAGGCCATAGGCACAGGAAGAACCCCAGGTCTCTGGGCAGTGACTGTGAAGACAGCTCATGTCATCTCAAGAACTTCTGTCCTTCCCCTCAGCAGAGAGAAGGGTTAAGAAAGGCATTGCTGATACTAATACGAAGACAGCCATGAGTGCATCTTGCGTTGCTCTTAGTTCAGGAAAGCTGGAGATGGCTGTGGGACTGAGGTAAGTGGTATTTCATTTTCAGGGCCAGGGTGGTGCTTGGGGTCCCAGGCCAGTCAACCAGCAGATATCACAGCAATGGAGGAAGACCTATTTGTTGTTCTCATTTGGAACAGACAAAAGAATGAAAGAGTTGAGGCTGGTAGGGACCTGAGCAAGCCTTTCGAATCCACGTTTCAGGCTTCACTTCCTCATAACCTCAAGCAGAGTAGCTCTTTCTGTTCTTCAAGTGAGTTCTTTGAACTCATACTCAGTTTCCTTGAATTTTCAGACTGTTGAGAACAGGCTGCTGGCTAGCTCCACCTTAGACAGAATGCCTCAGATAGGATGCTAATCTTGTGACTGGGTTGGATGGGGTCTTGGGGGTCCTCTTTTTTCATTGCTTGTTCTCATTCTGAGGAGGCAGCTCTGCTTTGTGGAGAGACCACTGGATTTAGCTTTGAAAGATCTGGGTTTGCATCTGACAGCCCCATTTAATTGCAGGTCACTTAACTTCACTAGGCCTCAGCTTCTTACATGATAAAATGGGGCCATATTGTCTCATGTGGTCATGAAATAATGGATGTGATTGCACCTTGTGGACCTTCTCCTGTTAGGCCTGCATAGGGGTCAGCTGACCTGCATGGAAGGTGGGAGGGGAAACTTCAGTCTGTGAACTGCCTGGAGGCAGAGGGCAGCACCGTGGGTGGGGGAAGCACAGGAATAGGTCCCTTCCTCTCTCATGGCAGTTTCAAGAATCTCCAAGGACAGTAGACTGGTTGACTTCTCAGCTCTAAGAGTAAGTTGCCCTGGAGCCAGGGCCAGAGTCTCTTGGTTGATACATCAGGTTCAGGGAGCCATCTCGCTTTCTCTTATGCCAGTATATAGAATAATTATTTATTTTCTCCCCTGCCATCTGGCACCGCAAAATTTTGCTTCTTCCAAAAGGAGCTAACATCTCTTGCTGTTCCAACAAGGCATCTGACTTGATTCCTGAAAAACAAAATCAGCATAAAAGGAAGTTAGAGAAACGAACCCTATCTGAGAATGAAGGGACTGAGGTTCTTGGTGGGATTCCAGAGCCACCTTCCATTTCAGTCTTCCTGGGAAGTCTCGCAGCATAATTTCATCAGGGAGTCATTTACTCGTTTACCCAGTTATTGGGCAAACACTCACTGGCTTCGAGGGTGTGCTCAGGGCTGGTCTGGGCTCTGTGGAGGAGACAGTTTTGGGCTCTTTGGGGCCCACTGGACCAGGAATCTGCAGGGCCTGTTGTTCGGAGGCTCCTGGTTGTTCTTACCTGGGCAGCGGGCAGCAAGAGGGGGAACGAGCAGACCCTTGGCCTTTCTCTGGGTGCTGAAGGGCTCTGCTTCTGGCACCTCTCTTTTTTCCTCATCTCAGCCCTCAGCACCGCAGCTCTTGGGCTGGCTATGGACTATGCGGAGACAAGCCTGAATCAGCCAGATGTTCCATCCCCAGAGAACAGCCACCCCAGCTGCACAGTCTGGGACCTTTTTCTTTCTGCTTCTCAAAGCAGCATCTCCTTCCCAGAGCAAGGCCAACATTTTGGCAGGGAAGATGTTGATATTTAGCTTCAGGCACTTTTAATGCTTCTTTTTCCCATATGTGGATGTTCCTTTTATTTCTGTGGCAATATATTATTTTGGATCTTTTATTTATACACTAAGGGAGTAGCTTCCTAGGAAGGGAGATAGATTTTGCCAAAATGCCAATCTTCTAAAGGACAAGAACCCATAACTGTCACACAGAATTTAACAGAAAATATTATTGCCTTGGATTTAATTTTTAGTAGCAGTTAAGTGCCCACTATAGTACTCTGCTCATATCAAGAGCCCTGTCAATGTTGACTCTGGACTAAAAAGAACACAACAGAAAACAAACATAATGGGAAGATGGAGTAAGTGGAGCGGACAATGAAAGTTAAATGAGAAAAAGCAAAGTTAAAGCATGAAAAAGGTTTGATGGAGTTTTGGAGAATTATCTACTGAAAGGACAAAGACCAAACTGAAAATAAAATAACTTAGATAAGAGGAATGTGAAGGCAGAGAAAAGTTGGAGCAATGTTTAGGATGATTACTTCCATGCAGTGGTTCTTAATTTTAGCTGCACATTGGGTTTGCCCAATTGGGGGAGTTTTAAGAAATCCCGGCAACCTGGTACAAACCCCAAAGAGACTGATTTAATCAGTCTTGAGGGAGGGGGAAGTCTGGCCATCAGGATTTTAAGAAGCTCCTTATGTAATTCTGATGTGCACCCAGGGTTGAAAACTACCATGTAAGAGAATCCTTTGGGCAAAAGAAAAAAGCCTTGCTGGGCAGTAAAGGTTTACGGCAGTGCTGTCCCTAGGGGACGAGGCAAGGCCTGTGGCAGGGTGTCACCCGGGATCAGGTGGTCTGCCAGTCTTGTGCTCCTTTTCCTTCCTCCAGGACCCCCAATCACCAGCTTCCACCTTGGAGATTGTTACCTCCCCCTCCTTGCGACTCAGAGGGTGTGACTCCTGCTTAGGTCAGCATCTTTCATATCCTTTCCTCCCCCCAGCTCCTACAGCACAGCTGGGCACTTAGTAGGTGCTTAGGAAACTATGTGAGGTACTGTGGTCCTTCTTCTGTGTGATTTGAAATGGCCTAAGTCTACAGGTTTGGTCCCTCCTCTTAAGCTGCCCAGATCTCCCAGACCCAAATTCTGCCCTGCCCAACTCCCTCTGAGAGGTTGGATCAGCCAGCGGAGTCCACTAGCTTGATTCCTTACTTTGGACAACACATCACTCTGTGTGTGTTTATGTGCATGTGTGCGTGTGAGTATGTGTGTATGTATTTATACCAGATGGACAGTGGGTTCTTGTTATTTTTTTTTTTTTTTTTTTTTTAATTTTCTAGAGGCATGTCTTATTTATTTATTTATTATTTGTTTGTTTGGTTTATACATGCACTGGGTACAGTCAGAAGCGCGGGAGGGTGAGAGAATTCACCAGAGCCAGAGCAGGGAGCAGAGCAGGCAGAAGGACCAAAGGACACTGCTGAGGGGAGCAGCGGGCGGCAGGAGAGGTCTGCGCGCCATGTGGGACCCTCCTCCGGTGGCCGGGGAGCAGCCGGGGATTGAACCGGCTGCAGAGGTTGCAGGCAGCTTCGCAACCCAGCGCTCAACCGCTGCGCCACCGGGGAGGCCCTTCTTGTTATTTTTTTAACTTCATGTTCTCTTTCTCTCTCTCCCTCTATCCCACCCTCCCTCCCCCATTTTTTTGTCCTGTCATTCCCAGACTCCCAGCAGACCATAGTTTTCCAAGGGGACCTGCCATTAAGTATGACCGTGCGTCCAGTGTGCTGCAGTGGCAACCTGTTTTGGGAAGTGGTGAACGCTCTCCTTCTTTCCTGGAGTTGTTGATTTCACAGTGAAGACTTGCTGCCGTGGAGAAGGCTGTGGGTTGAATGTAAAATTATTGCTATCTCTGGAAATCCTCTTTGATTTCCCCTGCTTGCTGGAAGAATCACAGAGGCCCAATAGTCCTCAGGTTGAACATGGAGAGGCCAGAACAGAAGTTTTCATGATGATAAAAGACTAATCTTTTATGTTTGTTGTCTGCTTATAAAACAGCAGAAACAAAACAGGAGTAATTTTGTACAGTCATCTAACCATGTCCCAACAGAGAAGTAAAAGCTGGGAAAATCTGGATTGGGAGCAGATGCCTTATTAGTTAAAAGAGACCTGCACAGAAACCCCCCTCCCTTTGTTGTCTTGCTCTGCACATCGGAAAAAGCACTCCTTACTTTTCTCCTCTGAAATGGACAGCAATGTTTTGCTGAAGGTTCTAGGTTGGGACTAGGGCCAGGAACAGGTCAGGGGGTAAGGAGGAGGTTTTTTGTCCTCCTTTGGTGATGGGAATTTACAAAAAAGCAGAATGTGCATTATTATTTATAGGAGCCTGGAGCTTTAGGACTATGCAACTGAGGAATTAAGATCTTATCATATAGATCTTATATCCTCCACCTGCCGGCTGTTTCTCAGGACAGGGATGGTGACAGAACCGTGCTTAAGGAAATTCCCTGCCTCGTCTCCCATAAGGAAGATAAATCCTTTATCCTTTAATCAAAGAGGGAGAGAGGGAGGGAGGGAGGGAGGGAGGGAAGGAGAGGAGGAGTAGGAGGACTCTATGGAAGTGAGACCCTCCCCATAAACCCTCAGTGGGAGTGAGATGACCCTGTCATCGGGTGGGCTTTATGCTGATGGAAGAGTGTCAATGCCAAGATGAGGAGGCCTCGCCTCTCTCCCTTGGGAGAAGTGTGTGTGTGTGGGGGGGCTTCCGCAGCCAGCACTGTCTGACCCCATGCCGCCGCCTCCCACAACATCTAAATAACACATCATCATGCTCTTTCTGGGGATCTTCCTACCCGACACAGCTCCACAGGGGCTCCCTAGCTCTTGGGTTCTGAGCTCACACACTGGTTAGTTTTACCAGAGGTAGGGAGAAAAGAGGAATGAGCCTGAAAGAATGCCAGACACGTGGGTCAGCTATAAAGTTATGGCACTAATGAAGCAAAGGATGTAGGGTGTCTGGGGGAAGGCAACTGTGTCAATAAAAAAAGTGGCCCTGAGGGAGCTCTGGGAGATAGAAGAGGAGAGTCCCTAAGCCAATGGAGTGTTAAGTTAGTATTTGAGGGGATGTTGGTTGGCCTCATGACTTCTTGGATCCCCATCCCCAGTGCCCTGGTCCCAGGAGCCACATCACACCCTGCCACACTCTGTGGATCCCTGTGTCTGGTTGGCTATGCAGGGTTTGTGGGGAGTCCTTGGTGAAAGTGGGGATGGGTGAAGGGCAAAGGCCTGGAGTAGATGCGGGATGAGCTATCCTGTCCACCCCGGCTAGAGAGTCCATGGCCAAGGTGGCTGTTTCACGGTCACTGTCGCGGTGCTGTGTTGAAGGCTCGTTTGGATGCAGGTGCAGTTCTAGCCATCCCAGAGATGACAAATTAAAGGACTGTTAACACTGAGCTGCATAATGAACACTTAGTATGAGTGAATGAAAAGATCATTGACTAGAAAGACAAGCTACACCGTCAGCAGGGCTTTCATTGTCATGGAGTCTGAAACTTAGCTCACGTCCATGACTGAGAGTGACTGTGAGAACTTGGGAACTTACCAGAATAGAATGAAGGAAATATAGCGCGGAGCAAGAATGCCTGTTTGACGAACAACCTCGGCTTCTGTCAAACTGAAATAACGTTGCCAGTGAACTCACAGCACTTGACAAAGCACATGGTGTCAATCTACATCGACAGAGGGTCCAGGCTGAGGGGCGCCCCGGGGCTGCATGTAACAGAAGATGCAGGGGAACCGCCAGTGCCGAGGAGATAGACCCAGGAAAGGGGATTTTTTCAAGATTCAGCTGACAAGGCCCTCTCTCTGTCAGAATACCTTATTTTCTAAAGTGCAGTCTCAAGTCCCAGATTGCTGACCTGAGGCTGCCTGAGGTCACGGAGGCCTCCTCACAATGTGTTTGAGCTGTGTTTGGGACTGCATAGCAAATGCCGGCAAGCAGAATTCCTACAGCCGCTGTAGGCCTAGAGGGCTCTTTGTTAATAAGTATTATAACACAAGCTTTATGTTTATCTAGGGAATTGTGATAGGGCAGGGATGCTGTTGGGAAAAGAAAATATATTTTAAGTTGTGATGGCAGTTGAAAAGTGCTTATTTTTGCAGAAGGAATGTAATCCGAACAGTTTCCCTTATTTTGATAGACTAAACCCAAAGTGGCAAGGCCAAGGAAAATATTTTTAGGGACACTGACATAAGAAAAAGCAGCCTGTGTGTACACACAGACACTGGGCCCTGGGGACCCTGTCCCGGTATAATCAGGGCCCCTGTGTGGTCATCAGGCACCCCTTGGGCATGTCATCAAGCACAAAAAGGCTCTTGACTTTTCTCGTAACAACACTTAGGTTGCTCTTTTCCGCTACAGGTGTATGAGACTGGGCTTGACTGCTAGAAGAGGCCTAGGGAGAGGCTTGGGAAAGAACAGCATCAAAATTCAAATGAGACTATGGTGATGGTGCGTGGGTGCGCGGGTGGGAATTTTACAGGGACTCCACTTGAGAGGAAAAAACATACTTTGTACAAAAAGGAAGAATGATGTAAAATATATTTTTAAAAAATTCCCCTCCCCAGAAAAATTCAGAGGGAGGAGAGGTGCAGTTCCCACAAGCTATTATTAGAGCTGCTGGTGAAACATCTTTTGCAATGCAGGGGGCCTTCCTCCTTTGGCCTCCTCTTTGGCTCTGAATCTAAACCAAGGAGTCAGCATTATGGGTAGAGCTGCTGCACTGGTTGGGTAGCAGAGTTCAGGCAAGCCCTGGTCATTTCCTTTTATCTCTTCATTTTAAAGTAAGGAGTAGTTCCAAGGGGAGACTGTTGTGAAGTCATCCCTGGCTGTAACATACCAGCGTCGCCAGATGGGGTGTGGGAATGTGGGCAATTTAGAAAACCTTTGTGGCAGCTTCTGTGACCACGAGGGATGATATTGTCTCGACTTAGCATTTTTAAATTTAAGTATTCACCTCATGCCAATGTATGTAGCTGTGTTCTCTCATCTGAGGTTGTTCATTTGGAAACACAGAAGGATGAGGCATTATTTCTTTAAATAAAATATTCTCTTTCATTACATGCGTGTCTCAGTCATCCCTAAAGCAGAAATTCAGCTCAAACATTAAATTCAATAATCATATATGAAGCACTTACTATGCCATGCGCTGTGGAGAAACAGACCAAGGATCCCTGCCCCCGAGGGGCTCATAAATTAGGAGGAGCATAAAGGCAGTGTACAAACAATCACGGAAGAGGAGAGAACACGGGGAATGATTCGAGAGAGGAAAGTGCTGAAGTGGTTCCTCTGGGAGCGAGGGTACGTCCTGAAGAGGGGGCTTGCACTGGAGGTAGAAATTTGGGAGTTATGAGCACATAGATGGGCTGTAACACCATGAGCATGAATGAGATCACCCAGGGAGAGGTAAGGACAGAAAGAGGGACCCGGGCAAGGGCCCTGGGGGCTCTGTATTAGGAGAGGAGGAAGAGCCAGCTAATGTGATGACGAGAAGAGGCCAGTGATGTACATGAAGCCCAGCAAAGTGGGGCATCATGGAACTAGGCCTGGAAAGAGCCATTTCAAGCAGGGGCCAGTGAGCTCTGGTGAAGCAGAGGGTGGAGAGTCTGCATGATGGACTGTTTCGGTGTTTGCTTTGTGTCTGTTCCTTTTATTTTAAACCAGTAAGTCTGTGAAGGCAGGGTCCTACAGAAGGGACCATGATTGTTGTGCTCACACTAGATTCCCAATGCCTGCCCCATGGCTTGGTACAGAGCAGGACTTAGTTGATGCATAAAATGCATAAGATGTAGGGCCTCCCTGGTGGCACAGCGGTTGAGTGCTGGCTTGCGAAGCTGCCCGCAGCCTCTGCAGTGCCTGTTCGATCCCCTGCCACCGGGCGAGGGTCCCACACAGCGCGCAGACCTCTCCTGCCGCCCGCTGCTCCCCTCAGCAGTGTACTTCGTCAGTCTGCCTGTTCTGCTCTCCCCTCTGGCTCTGGTGAATTCTCTTACCCTCCCGTGCTTCTGACTGTACCCAGTGCTTGAATAAATAAATAAATCTTTAGAAAAAAAAAGATGCATAAGATGTAGTTGTTGCATAAAGGAAGGCAGAAGCGAAGGTCAGATTGAGATGTTTCCACTTATTCAGTAGGCCGGAGTAATCACTGAACAGCATTTTCAGATTCCTAACATAGAGATCTTAACAAAAAATACAAGGCTCCTTTTGGAGGCTTGTACAGACCTGTTGGTCTCATGCAGACGTCCTCTCAACACCATAGAGTGCCCTTGGATCTGGATGCACAGAAATGAGGAAGCAGTAAGAAGCCTTCTGGTGATTCGCTCATAATCCTTAAGGGCAGGGTTAGCCATTAGAATCTCATCAGATATTTATGGTTATGCCATTATAGAAAGAACTCTGTGATTCCAATCCTGGATTAAATAGGTATCTTTATAGAAAGAACTCTCAGAGCATTTCATATGATAATAAAGAAAAGTGAATATTAAGAGAGGGCTATTAACACAGGGCATTTTTTGACCTTGGAATTCTTTTTAGTTACTGAGTAACTGTTAACATCCTAAGGGATGGAGACATTTGAAGAACAATTTGGTAAATGTTGCCCCCAAATTTTCCTAAGAAAACGAAAATCATATCAATGTCTTTTTAGCTGACATGAGGAGATTCCCCATACGGATATAAATCACACGGATGGAGTCAAACGGTAGGTTGTGTTATTATTCTGAAGTGTTTGATGCCTCCTTCCACGTGAGAGGATTATCAGCTTCTGCCCATTTCTATGCCACTGTCCATCAGTTCCCGCCCATTGCCATTCCCGCAGAACCTTCTGCGGGAGGGACGTGGTTTTGGGCTGGGCTGTGGAAGGACTGGTCCATGAGAGTGAGGGGATGTGATGGGCTCTGTGAGCAGAAGCTTTCGGGAGTAGCCTGCGCTTTCGCCAGCAGCTCCCTTGTTCTTTGTCCTCTGCCAGGACGACAATGTGCCCCAAGCAGTGAGTTATCGTTCAGCCTGGATTCTGGCACGGGAGGACAGGAAGCAGCTCCTAGCGGTCACCAGTGGCCTCCAACTTGTAGTAAAAACTGCAGCAGAGCTGACTAATACAAAGAGGAAAATACGCAAGACTGATCTGAATATGCTGGCTCTTCCCTGAGCTTCCAGAGGAGAGATGACTTTAGAGGAGAAGCAGAATGAGTGTCTCCTTTTAGATCTGATTTTATTTTGCCCTTCACAGGAGAAAAGTTATACTCTTACTTTGACTAAAAACAATTCCATGAACTGAAACAACTTAATCAGCTTAGATAAAGATTTATAGATTTAGCGTAGGCGATAAGGTGCTGACATCTCTGAGGAAAAAAAATCTCGATATTTCAAACTGAATGAAATCAAAGAACACACGAAAGCAGAAGTTCAAGGCCAGCCCCACTGGCATAATTTGCCTCCCTGTGAGTACATTACTTTCCTAATAGTCTCTCCAG